ATACACTTGCGCATATTTCAAGTCTAACAAATTTTAATACTAAGTTTAGACACTGAAAAAATTGTATCTATGTGACAGTCGTATTGAATCAAAAGGAGTAAAATATCTTGCCGATGCTCTAGGAGAAAATATGGCAATTGTTAATTTTTTCTGCTTTATGATTTGCATTTAATTTTTCTTTATCCTTTCTCTTCATAGACGCTTGACACGCTTGACCTGTACCCTAATCCGATTGGCATTCCGGATGTTAATTATCTTATTGAAATTTTACGAATGAAAGAAGTAACTGAATAATTTACATAACATTTTTTCAGTTCATTCCATCGTTTCTCAGACACAAACGCTCACCACACTATATATTGGCGTTCTCCGTCGCCATCAACAACAACACTCAAATACTGGAAATCTGGCTTCTGTTTTGCGCAATAGCAAGGTACTTTCTATAAGAATATTTTTCGTACTTGAAAAACTCTTGATTTTATATATATAGACATTCTCTCGACCCGAATTATCAGGAACAGTAGATGGTTATTGCAAAGCACTTGTAGCAGCAGCAAGAATACGTACAGATAGTGTAACATCTCACAAAGAGGGAACATTTCGTTTCGCAACATTTTTCTTTCACTTTGTAGACATTGACAAAATTAGACCTTAAAAATGAAGGAATTGGACCTGCTGGTGTACAACAGATTAGTGATGCTATAATCAATAATACGGTGAATTTTACAATACTTTCATTATTCATTTTTGTACATAATTGTTTGTATAGACAGTGACGGAATTGATACTTGATTGTAATCCAATCAGTTCTGCTGGAGCATCATATATTGCTGATTTTCTGCGCATGAATACAGTAATATGCATTCATAGATTTTAATTCATACTAACATCTATTTTCAATCTTTATTTATAGACACTCAAAGTGCTACATATTGATCCTTACAGTATAGGTCGATCAGGTATGATAAAAATTATTGATGCATTGAAGCAAAATACGGTTTGTATTGATATCATTAAAAATCATTCATATTCATCAGTTGATACATGCATAGACGTTAACAGCATTATATCTGGGATACAGTGAATGGATAATATTGGAGTGTTATAAAATAATTCACAACATACGAACTGATAAAGTAAGATGCTTATCCGTAAAATATCTCTCATTGCCATATCTCTATTTCTATGTATAGGAGCCTAACATCTTAGAAATACAATACACACCCATCAATAAAATGGAAATGAACTATCTTGTTCATACTCTAAGAAATAATTCAGTAGTACTTAACGAAATCTCAATTATGTTCGATTGCATTTCTCTATTTACCCACATAGATACTAAGTACGCTGAATCTAAGAATGAATGACATTACACCGGAAAAATGCGTGATTTGGCTGAAATATTAAAAATCAATTCAGTAAAGAGTATTCATTATCATTCTTCTCGATAAATATGATTTGTTTGACACAGAAATTGACAACTTTGTGTTTGGAAATAAATCCAATTTGTGACAGTGGTGCAGAATATCTTGCTTCAGAATTACGTAGTAATACGGTGAGCGACAGTATGTTACTATGCTTATTTGATTATACGATTTATTTTATATTCATAGACACTAAAGACATTGATTCTTTCGAAAAATAAAATTCGATCAGCTGGTGCAAGGAGTCTCGCTGATGTCCTACGGAACAATGCAGTATATTTGATGAATTTTCAATTGATATCTTTTCTGAGACAAATAATTTTCTGTAAATGGACACTAACTGTATTCAGATTTAAGAAAAATAAAATTGGAACTAAAGGAGTTCAATTTTTGGCAGAAGCATTGCAAACAAACACAGTGATTTCTTTGTTTTTTCTTTATATATTATCTATAAGTTGAATAGTTCACTTATAGACGCTAATAAAAATTGATTTGTCTAATGATCAGATTGGAAATGATGGAGTACAATTTCTTGCTGATGTGCTGTCCACGAATACTGTATTTCTTATTGAACATTCAATATCGTTTTTCATCATCTTTTAGTTTTCTATACAAACAGACACTTCGTTCATTGACTCTTGGAGAAAATGAAATCGATGCATCTGGTATGGAGTATATTGCTAATGTCTTACGAAATAATACTGTTAATATCATTATTTTCTCGTTTTTTTTGTTCTCTGTTAAGTATATCTTTTTCTTTTAATAGACTCTCACCAAATTAAATATTGAACGAAATAAAGTTGGACTAGAAGGAGCACGACATATTGCACACGGATTGCAAATCAATAAAGTATATCTGATATTTATTCGCAATTTTGAAACATCTATTAGATCATACATAAATAGACACTAAAAGAAATAAATATTAGATATAATCAAATTAAAGATGATGGTATGAAATATCTCTCGGATGCAGCACGAAATCATGCGGTGCGTAAACATCTCTTTTGTTTCCCCGCTATAATTTATTCTATTTTCTATAAGAGATGTTCATTCAGATTTTTATCATGTACATTCTATATCTTTTCTCATTAATTTTTATTCATTATTGATGCTTTCTTTAATATTCTCTTTTTGTAAACAGATGCTGACTTTACTGAACATGACTACAAATCACATTGGCTAATGGATTAGTACAACATTGTGATAATGCATTACAAATTAGCAAAATGCTTTTTTTATTTTTATTTTTTGAGCAAAAAAAACTCCACATTTGCAAAAAAAAGACAATGCTAAACTATACTGTTGTTAGTTTGTTAGCGTGCATTTTGAATAATTATTTTTTTAAAGAAGTAACAAAATTTTACTAAGTCTTGTCAAATTAAAAATTTTTTAGAAATAGAACTTCCAAGTTATTTATTCCCAAAATTGAAAGGTTAGAATCGAAAAACCGAAATTCACCTACATCTATCTGTAATACTTGGCACAAATGGGTGTGAGTGTAGATGTGGGGTGTGGGTGTGGGGTGTGGTGGGAGTATGGGTGTGGGTGTGTGAGGTATGAGAGTGGGTGTATGGGGTATGAGTGTGGGTGGGTGTGAGTATGGTCGGGTGTAGGTGTCGGTATGGGTTTGAGTTTAAATAAAAACTTCAGATACCCATATATCACTCACACCCCACACCCACGCACCCATACCCACACCCACACCCAAGATCGTATTTTGAGGAGGCCTCAAAAAAAAATTTCGAACAAGATCAACTTTTCATCGCTTCCAAATGGCTACAATTAATTTTTATTTTTTGTAATGCATATTTCTCAGTTGATAACTGTCTTAATATATGAGTTTGGAAGGATCAGTAATAGGGTGTTTTGTAGAGCATCTTTTACTGCATATTTCTATTATAGAGACGAATTTTTAAAGATCTATTTTAATATAAAAAAATTAATTATGTAAATCGAGTCAGGGCTTCTGGATCATCCTTTATACGCAAAGGTAAGTCATCACTTTCTGTTTTTACTTTACCCATGCCTGTTATATGCTTTAACTTGAATAAAAAGAAACGCTTTCTAGAAAATTTTCCATGTGTGCTGTAGAATATCGATATTTACTTATGATTCTCCTTGAGATGGAAAATAATCTTAGATTTATGTTACATTACAATTCACGTTTTATAAGTTTCTCCTTGTATATGAAACATTCTTATTTTGGAAAGAATAAACGCTCGATGCATTTCTTCTAGAAAATTGCCCTATTACTTCTATATGTTGCTCTAGTTTTCTGTATAAAATCATTTTTGCTTGAGATTGTGTCGAGTGAAAGATTTGTGCTGAAATAAAAACGATGTCTCGATTTCAGGAAATACTGAATAAGTCTTTCTTGTCAATGTTATTTTGTGAAAATTTTTTAAAAAATGTGTATTTATTATAAGAAACCAAATCTCTTGGTGTAAATAATCAATTCAATATCAACTCTATGTATTATTAAAAACGATTATATTGTCAAATATTTGATAATCATCTTTTCATTTGTTTCGATAGTTGGATAGTTTTATTATTTAAAACTATGTTGATAAAGAAAATTTTCCTTCAGTTTGAATCACATAATTGTTTCCATTAAAATTATTGCTATAGATTTGAACACGAAATCGAATTGTTTTTGTTTTTCTTTGAAAAATCGAAGTCATTTTTAAACTGACTTTCTTTAGTTTAAAAAAGAAAATAATGACAAATCAAATAAATTTGTACATCTTATTTTTATTTTATTTCATTTCTATAACATTCTTTATAATTATTTTAATTAAATAAATTATTTCTATCGTTTAAGTTATGCGTTAATTCAATTAATGATCAAAATAAAAAAATACCTATATAAATGAAAAATTTTATTTATTAGTTTCGATAAAAAAAATTCATGAATTTGATAAAATTATTTGAATTGAATAGTTAATAATGATACATATTAATTGTTGTGAAATGTCTAAATTTAGTTTTAATTTGTCCTTCATTGATTTTTATTATTTAATTATTCATTGTAATAATTTGTTCAATACCTATTTGAATAAATAATTACAAAGGATATAAGACAATTTCAATAAATTTCATATATTATTTTGACTTTTATTCAAGTTTATAGTTATGAAATTGAACATTTATCCTAAAAGGAGTAGAAAAATCAGAAATTTACAATAATTAGGATGATTGTCTACTGTCGACCGTTCGTTTTCTTTCGTTGTTCAATCATACCATCTCGAAATATTTATCAAGAGTATTTCTTTGAATGCAATACGATGTGTTCAAGTGAGGTACATTTTGATTACAAATAAGTTAATTCTAGTCGATTTGAATAGATGAGCGCCATCTATGGATGTTAATATTTATTGATCTCTTTCATGATCTATTTGACGATTAGCTTTTTTGTTAACGAATAGATTTTTCAACTTGCAATTTATTCTTTTCAATTAAATAAAAAATTGATCATTATTGAAAATGAATTTCAATAGATATCTCAAATCAATTTCTATTGATTTTAAATATAGAATTCTGATTGTTCGATCATATTATAATTTGGGTATTGAAATGAAAAATTTAAATGATAGAAAAGAATATCGAAAAGCACTTGATTTATTTTATGAATATGAACATAAAAATAAAGAAATGATATCCGATGTAGTTATTAATCAAGCACTTAAATCATTTACTAATATCAAAGATTTTCAAGGTGGTTTACATATTTTTAAAAAATATTCATCCCGTATCGAAAATAATAATTATATAATAGCATCACTTATTCATCTCTACAGTTAGTAACAATTGTGTTTAGTTTAAATAAATATCTATTAGTATATATTTAGTGCAATCTGGAGATATTAATCGTGCTGAACAAATATATAATAGATCAAAAACAAAAACAATGGGTATTTACGGAGCTATGATGAAAGGTAAAATTTTTTTTGAAAACTTTTTAATAAGATTAATTTATTTATATTCTTATAGGTTTAATTAAAAATAATATGTTTAACGAAACAATAGACCTTTTCTTCAAAATCTCAAATCCAGATGAAACAATTTTTGTACTTTTTTTTCATGCTTGCGCTCGTTTGGGTACAAAAGAAGCATTAATTCTAGTCAAGAAAGTTTTATTGAATCTTCCAAATAATTATAATGAAAATAAATATATATTGACAACTGCTTTTGATGCATTTGTTAAATGTGATGATTTACTATCTGCTGAACAAATTTTTCCTAAAATAAAAAGAAATGCAATTAGTTATGGAAATTTGATGAATGCTTTTAATAAAAATGAACAACCAGAAAAAACTTTGGATTTATATGAAAAAATGAAAATAGATAGAATTGAAGCAGATATTATATGTTGGATTCTTTTAATAAATGCATCTTCTAATATTGGAATGGGTGCACTAAGTCAGTCAATCTTCGAACAAATTCCAAAGTCTTTTCTTAATAATTCTTACATTAAGAATGTACTAATCAATATGTGGGTAGGAAAACAAATAAATTTCATTTCTTTTTTTTCTACTTTATTTTTCAAAAATAAAATAGGGAAAATCAGCTTGTGTAGATAAAGCAAAAGATGTGTTTGAATCGTTAGTTCAACCAGATACAATTGGATATACGTCAATGAGTGAGTGAAAACATTTATAAATAAATAAATAAATAAATAAATATTTATATATTAGTTAATACATACGGTTTAAACGGAATGGGTGCTGAAGCATTAAAACTTTTTTATGAAATGCCACCAGAATTGATTTTAGAAGAAACATATGTTTGTGCGTTAAATGCTTGTTCTCACTCAGGGTTTGTTGATCATGCTCGAACAATATTTTCAAATATAATTAATAAAACAGAAAAAATTTATGCATCCATGGTTTATTAAAAAAATATTTCTTTTATTTTTATCTTATATTAAGTCTTTATTTATTTAGGTTGATTGTCTTAGTCGAGCATTCTTGTTTGAAGAAGCACAAATATTAATTAATAAATATGAATCTGATCATTTACCTTCATCAACCATGCTTAGTAAGTTTTATCAAATTAAATAGTGACTATCAATTTTAAGTCGAATGTACTGTATCTTTCCTTCTCGTTATATATATATATATATATATATATATATATATATATATATATATTAATACTTGAGCTATATTTTTATCTTTATTACAAACTAAGATAAACTCTTTTTAACATTATTTAACGTCATAGCAACTTTTTTTCTTTCATTAAACTTTACAGCAACTTCTTTCCGTTCGAAAAGTAAAAAAGTTCAGTTTACAATGGAGAAAAAAAAATAATGGAAGATTGTTGTAAATAATGGGCATCATTTAGAAGAGTTCTTATTGAAGATATTTTGTTTTAGTTCTGGAAAAGTAAAGATTTGATAGCAGTTCGATATTTCATTCCGACATGAACTAGATTAATATACATTAAATTTTTTTTTCTATCTGTAGGATAAATATTCGATTTTCATTATGTATCGAATAACAACATTTTATTAATTCTGATAGAAATGATCATAACAAAAATTTATTTTGAAACTAAAATCAAATATAAAAGATTTCGGTATTTGAATAGTGGCTATAATTTTGTTTTTAATGCTCGTTGTGAAACTTTCTAATAAAATTTAAAGAGTAACTCCAAAGATACAGAATAGTTGTTCACTTTGCCAACTAGAAAAGTCTATAAGTTTCTCATTCAATCTTGATCATAATTTTCTAATAGTAAATCTATAGTTATTTCTTTTTTTTCTAACTATTAGCTAAAGAAAACTGTCTTAAAAAATTTTCAATCATCGATCTATATTTGGTAGTATACTTGATCTAATTAATCGAATTTTGCTTCTAATGACTCTACGAAACGAACATTTTTTAAATAAACAACCAAAAAATGTTATTGAATATTAAACACGAGGCAAAAGAGAATATGTTGATATAGTTAAAGTACTTATTGTTAGAAAGTAACATTGTAAAACAAACATGAAATAAACGATGAGTGGTGCCAATAGGTAATCATCTTGATTTGAGTATTCAGAATTCTAAAATACTGATTTATTTGATTACGAGATATTTAATTAAAATAAATAAATAAATAAAATTTTCGCTAGTTTCTTTGACTACTTCGTAGTTATTTTTTGAAATATAAAAATGAATGATAATTCTAATAAAAATATATCATTTGATATTGTTTTATTTAGTGGCATTATTATCCGGTGCTCGAAATAAAAATGATGAAAATTTATCAGAAAAAGTATTCAATCGCATTGAAGAACATTTTTCTAAACATGGAAATCGGCTAATATCGGCTTCAATATTACTCTCAAATGTTTATGCATCAACAGGTGATATAGAAAAATCGTCCAAAATCAAAAATAAATTATATCATCTTGGATTAAAGAAAAAAATCGGTCTATCTTTTACTGAAATTAATGGTGAAATATTTGTAAGTCATTTTCTGTAAATATTTGATATAGAGTTTCTACTCTTTATAGAAATTTCGAGCTCATGATAGATCTCATCCTCGATCCAAAGAAATTTATGCTGAAAATGAAAACATATCGAAAGAACTTATTGAACATGGTCATCAATATGATTCTAGTTGGATCACACGGCCATTAGAAGAAGGTGAAACAATTGCATCTATTCTAAGTGGACACAGTGAACGACTTGCTATTGCCTGGAATTTTGTTGCAAACCCAAATACAAAAAAAATTCAAATAACAAAAAATCTTCGTATTTGTGGTGATTGTCGTATGTCATTATTTAATTTTTTTTTCTTTTTGCTTACATTACTTTGTTTCTTCTTAGATCAAGTAACAAAATTAATAGCTGCAATTCGTCAATGTGAAATTATTGTTCGAGATGCAAATCGGATCCATCATTTCTATGCAAATGGACGTTGCTCATGTAATGATTATTTTTAAAATAAAAGCTCAACTATATTTATTTATTTTATATATTTTGAAAAGATAAAAAATAGATGAAATTTAACTAAAGCAATATCAAAATTTGTTACAAAAGTATTTTATTTACCTATAGAAAGCTCGAAAAAAGAATTTCTTAATACACAAACAAATGAAAAATATTGTTTTTTTTTAATTGAATATGATATTTGAATATTTGATGTGCTGTATGAATGTGAAAGAAGAAAATATCAATAATTATATCGAACTAGATTATAAGTCGATCTCTACGTTTATGAAGGTCTAAATCTACAGATTGATTGTAACTTGTTTTTCCATTGAAACTATTTTCTTACTAACTAACTCGATTACTTATTGATTTTATTTGTTCTTTCCATAAGGGTTCTAGAAAGGCATAAGAAAACAAAAAAAAACATGTCTTTTCATTGATAAAAAGTTTCTAACAATATATACAACAATAACTGATATAGAATAAACTGCATTTGTGATATAAATATGTAGAAATATGACATTTGAAAGACAGAAATATTTTCTTCGTTTTGATTAAAATTGATTTGTTACAAAAATTCGAATAAATGATGCTTTTTCTGAATCTAATAGTTCTAGTTAGTTGTAAATTATGTTATTCATCTTTTTATCTTATGGTTAATAAAGCAAAGAGAAGAGAAAGAAAAAGAATTTATACAAAAAGACAATTCTTAAAAAATATTTTTTTGCATAACAAAATTCATTTCATTGATTAATAGTAATTGAATTCCATTAGGGTATAAAAGTCTATTAGGTTCAAATTAATAATTGAACAATCCTTTAAATTAGTTCATTATACGTTTTATCTTGAAGAACAAACGAAACTTAAAAAAGGAATATCGACTCTTGAAATTCTCGAACAAGTCGGATTATGTACTGGACTTTTCCAAGTATTCAATTTCATGGTGGAATTGTACTAAAGACTATTGTTCTATGCCTACGCATTCCCTAGTGCACAAGCTACTACTACGGACTGGGCACATCCCTGGGTCGCTGGCATCTGTGCTATTCTTTCACTTACGAGTCCAGTAATCACTATAAGAGTTCTAGTAGCTAAAAAAATTAGCGTAACAGGATTGACATTAGCAGTTTTGGGTGGTATATTATGTATTGTGGTACCGATGCAGTTTTTTGTTTGGACGTGGAGAAGGAACAACAGACTTATGAAAATAATAATAAAACCTTTGAACAATACAGAAGCACATAAATCTAATGAAATGGTCATGACTACCATTAACAAACAATACTCATCGATAGCAACCACCAATGAAACGAGAACTTAGATGTTATTTGAACGTTGTAAACAATCTACTTAAGTGGCACGGCGTGTTAATATGACGATCTGCCTAATGAATAGATAAATCAATACAAAGCTGAGGATGTGTGGGTATGGGTGTGGGTGTACGTATCACATTCAGACCGACGACCACCAACACTGATACCCTCGTTACTGAATGAATATTCTTAGTATACTTTCTATATTAGAAAATTGCATACAATGTATTACCAAAAATTCTTTGATGACACCTTTTGATATCTACATATTAAGCAGATAATGCATATCATGTTTGAATAGAAATAAGAAAGTAATTGCATTGCAATGGATATTGAACAAGTATTTAAAAAAACATTTAGATGCTCAGTCATAAAATGTTCATACCGTCAAATAGCTTCTATTTTTTACTCATATTTTTCGTTTACATTTATTCCAGAAAAAAAGATATTTGTCTGTGTACTTCTTACTTTGGATAGTTTTTTTTTTTTATTAAAGATGTTCTCGTGAGATAGAAATATGTAACTGTCAATTTCGAGTATCGGAGATGCAGTGCCATGGATAACAATAAATACACTCATCTGCTTATATATACTCTATTAATCTGATGCATTATACTCAAAATACATGTTCTAATAATATTCTTCACTGCATTTTTTTTATTGTCTGTATCATTTATATTTTAACTTTTTCATTGCATTATTTATGATTATAGTTTATAATAACAATACATAGATTGGGTAAATTGCCACGTATTATTGATGATGAATCTGGTTCTTGTTTAAATGTCTTGCACAGTTCATGCGTAAGAGATTGATTATTTTCATAGTGATTGCATTATAGACTACATGTCATAGATTTTTTATGTAAGTTTTTTCTCATAACATTTTAATATTTATAGAAGCAGTTTTCATCCAATGGTGACAACCTCTTATTTAACTACTCGACATTTATTTAATCGAAATTTTCATGTGCACGATATAGTGATGCGAATTAATGTTAAAAATGTACTTTCAATTCATTGTAAAAAATGCTAATTGACGACGAAAACAATAAAATACGAGATTTTCGGGGTGTGGGTGTGGGTGGGTGGTGTGGGTGTGTGGGTGGTGTGGATGGGGTGGGGGTGTGGGTGTGGGTGTGGGTGTAGGGTGTGGGGTGTGGGTGGGTGTGTGGGTGTGGGTGGGCGTGGGTGGGTGTGGGCGTGGGGTGCGGGTATGCGTCTGCTCTTGGAATTCACCCACACCCACACTCACACCCACACCCACACCGACACCGACACCCACACCCACACCCTCCATCCTATCATCTTTGATTTTGGTGAAGACATCAATATCTTGTCTCCTGTTTGATGATATTCTTAACAAATAGATGAAGCAAGTAAAGGAGTTGATGATTATTCTGGAACGACTGTTACAGATGGTGAAGGATAACATGTGCTTTGACTACTATCAATTGTACTTGTTGTTGTTACTCGTCGAGATAAAAGAATGATGGAGAAAAAGTAGCATAGGGTGTGGGTATTCTCCTTATTACTACCCACACTCAATTGATTTTGCTTCTTCGAATGATTTATGGTTTCGTTTATGTAATAGAGTAGTTAAAGCTGATGTTGCAATAATTTCTTTTGAAGGCTGGTGTGGGTCTTCTTTTTAACTACACCCACACACTAATGTATATCATCGTTTACTCAATTTTAAATATAATTAACATAATATAGACTTATGTATGATTTTAAAAGAAATATCGTCGAATTTTTTTCAGTCATAGGATTAAAAAAAACATTAAAATGAAATAATTATTATAGAATAATTACGTTTACAATAATATACGATAAAACTTCTTATAAATTGCTTTTATTTCCTCTCCGAAAGAAAAAGAAAATATTTAAATTCTTTATTATATTAAATATATTTTATATTTATTCTTTAATTTTATTTCAACTGGAACAAAATGAATTCGACAGGATTAGATATTTACAATGAAAAAAAATCAACTGTTCATCTTAATTCAAAATATTTTTTAAGTAAAGTTTTTCTTTCTGAATAAATTTCGTCTTAAGAAGAAGAAAAGATGATAAGAAAAACAAGCAGATAACATTTTTTTAAAGGTACGAGGAAAGAAGTCAAGTAGAAAAATCTCATTGTTGTGAGTTAGTCATATTTTCTTATAAACAGAAAAAGATTCGATTCGCTGCTTTGTTTGGATGAATGATTGGAATAAGAACGAAAGAGGACGTTGTCGAACGTTTATTTTAATTTGACACTTGGTGCATAGATAGGAAGAAAAAAACTATTGGTATATCCTTTTGAGTCAATGGAAATAGCAGAACGAAATGGTTTTGTTATATTTAGTTTTTTTTCTTATTTGAATGAATTTTGCTACTAGTAAATGAAATAAAGTATTTATCATGATAGTACAAGAAAAAATTAGCTTTTTCAAACTTATATCTTCTCTTTTCTAGCACTATTTATTTCACTAATTAAGCTTTAATGAAGCATTTTATTCACGGAGAAGTGGGCAGATCGAAACAATCAGATGTCCATTGGATAGCGCTCATTGAGTTCTACTTGGAGAGTTCTTTGAGGGAAATCCTGACTTAAGATATCCTACGTATTTGAAGAAGCTTTTCAACAAGCTTTAAGAATGGTTGATAAACACGTAACCGGTTTTGATCCATATTCAGGAACAATTACAGATGATGTAAAATTAATTAAAGATTATCTCGAATTTTTCTTGTATTTTATTCTAGGAAATAAATACACTAGCCTATGAACGTGTTTTTATATTAGCAACAGCTCTTCGACATGGTTATACAATTGAACGTTTGTTGCAATTAATAAAAATTGATCGATGGTTTCTTTATAAATTTGCACGAATTATTCAATTTATTGTTAATCATTCGGATTCATCCATTATTCAAGATCAATCACTTTTACTTGAAGCAAAACGTTTAGGTTTTTCTGATAAACAATTTGGTATTCGACCATTTGTTAAAAAAATTAATACAGTTTCTGGTGAATGGTCGGCACAAACAGATTATTTTTATTTAACTTAGCATGGTAATGATGATAATATACAATCATATACCCAAAAGTGGACAGAATATTCCCAATTTAGGAGTGAATAAATTTTTTTTTTCTATATATTTCGATTGTTTGTTTTTTTTTAATTAAAATTAGACTAATATAACATATAATATTGCTGGTATTCCATGTCCATCATTTCCAAAACAACAAGCACCAATAGGTTCTTCATATCCAAATGTTCAATTAACATTTTGTTATGGAACTCCATATATGACTTCAACTTATCTCCTACCAATAGTTACAAATGGTTTTAATGATAATTGAAAAACTTATAATAATCAATCAACATTTCAAACAAATACATTTGTTAATGATAATGAAAATTAATCTTAATCTTCGTCAGGGAATGTCCTCCACTGATTCAAGCCGTTTTCAGTGATATTTTTTTCCATATTTTGAAGTAAGTATTCTGGGAGAATTCCTAAGAGAATTTGAACCGATAGACTTTCCTTTGAAAGTTGTGGTCATTTTTCGAGCTAGCATAAGGTATATACACAAAAATCAGTAAAATGACCATAGCTTTCGAAGGAAAGTCTATGGGTCCAAATCCTCTTCGGAATTCTGCTACAATACTGATTCTAACATATAGACAAAATATCACAGATCAGTTGTGGATCTTCCCTCGTTAAATGAACGATCATAATTCATTCATTAATTGAACATACAGAACCAACAGTTAATGTTTAAGAATTAACAAAACATTTTTCATTACCTGAATCAGAACAAAAAAAATTCTAAATCTAATCATATTGATGAATATATTTTATGTTCATTTAGTGATTGTATTGAACAATATTATCGAATACTTTATTGTGTATGTCAATGTACAGAAGAATTAAAACAAGAATTATGATAAGTTAAACATGAACATAATCAAATGAGTGAAGATTTAATTAATGCTGAAAATACTTTATAATGATGCTTGAAAAAAAAAAGAAATAAAAAAACTTATATTAATTATTAATGAACATAAAACGGTTTGTAAGAAAAATAAATTCATTTAAAAAAAACAATTATTTCTTTTTAGAACACAGCAACACGAAAATGTTTTTCAGAAGAATCCATTTCGTTATATAGAAGAATAAAAACAAAAATATGCTGTACTTAAACAGCATGCACAAGAGAAATTAAATGAGTAACTATAAATTATTTAAAAAAAAAATAAAACTAAAAATCTTTTTTTTAGAGCTAACAGGGAAATTGAACGATTAAGACGAGTACATACATCAGATATTGGAAGAAGGTGTACAATCACTTGAACAAGAACTTAAAGTAGTTAAACAAGAATTAGAATAAAAAGTTAAATAAATTTTTTTTTATTTAAAAAAAAAAAGAGAAAATACTGAATTGACAAATATTTGTGATGAATTATTAGCAACTTATAAACGATAGTTTATCTGTCAGAATGATTAACAACATATACATATTTTCTTTTTTATATTCTATGAAATACATCAGGAGATTATTTTTTTAATAATCTTTTTCTCTCATATTGCATTACTCTTATATTTATTTCTTCTGCTAACTCTTTCTTTTGGTGTGTTTATAGATAAGAATATAATGCATTCATTTTTATGTCGATTGAATACTCTATTTGTTTTTACATTAACTGTTCTTGCTGTAATTACAACTGGAGCATTTATATCAACTTATTTTGAATAATATTATAGAAAGATTGAAATCAGTGCAAATAAATCAATTGTGTAAGTTGAAGATATTTTTATTTTATTATGAAAATAGGCTTTTTTTTAAATATAAAACGGTATGGTTAGCTTTTCATATGAAAGATGTTTATCTTATCTGACAGTGTCGTTTAAAAACGTCTTGAAGATCATCGTGATGAAGAATATAAACATGTCGCACCTAAATTCAAACCTTTTGGTGGTACCAGTAATACTGTTGGTATTGCCGGTGCTCAACAAAGTCCATTTAAATCATCTATGGTTTCATCTGGTAATACAACATTAAATCCTTCAGATGGAAATAATCTTGAGATACTTGCTGAAATATGCTTAAAAACTTCATCGTCATCAACAACGATTCATCTTCGATTATTGGATATGTCAAAGCCAATATGTGTAAAAATTGATCTCAATCGAACATTAGATGATATACGAAAATTCCTTATTGAAAATGTTCAATCACTAGGATCAAATGCATTTAAATTTATGGAACCACCATCAAAAAAATAAATCGTGAAGATGAAAGAAAAAAAAAAGTGATGCAAAATTATCAAATTCCACACTTGCCGTCCGACAAACTGCTTAATCTCCATACATATGTCTCCTAATATGTATAAACAATACAAACAAATATTAGTTTTTCAATTTTTTTTTAATTGAGAGACTTCATTTTTTATCTTTTCATTTTTGTATTAATACAACACATAAAAAATAAAAGAGTAGGGTAAAAACAGTACATATTTCAAATGCAATTTAATGGATTCATCATGATGAGTAATTTTGATCTCTCATTATTTAATTTCTAGAATGCTTTTTTTATCACAGTTGATTCAGTATTAATATAAGAGTTTAGAAATCTTCGACAAAAAAATAGCAAACATATTATTTTAGACGCATATTTTAGATTGATAATTATGCTTCATCGTTAAATATGATAACGATTGATGGTTCCTATCTCGAAGGAGTACGTATGATCTTACTCACTAGAACGAATGTAAATTACACGATTGCTTTGTTTTTGGTTAATTGCTATGATTTAACAGTCATAAGACTCAGCATGTGCTCTCTGTCATATGTTATGCTCCCTCTGTGTTGCTTGTGTTCCATAGATATATTAGAGCCCTCATATCTCAGTTGAATATGTTTGTTTCTGTATAAAAGATATACTTCTCTCTGGTGTTAAGAGTACGGATAATTAAGACTAAGGATGTGTGAAGGTTTTCGAGTATTTGGGATGTATAAAATAAATTTTCTTTCGTTGATCACTGTGTATGTTTGCGGGTTTCAATTTCAGGATCACAAATCAAGTGTTTAAGAACCAGGAACTACACACGAATGTCCATCCTTTAGAATATAGTATGTGGTTCTTTGTGCCTAAGAACGGAACAGAAAACTGATATTCCTGCGGAGGATTCATTCGTACTGGTTATATTTTAAAATATATATATATATACTTTGTATCTTAGATCCAGTAAGAGATATACACTTGACACTATATACATAAAGATTGCTTCTATGAATTATTACAGCTAGAGTCCCTCTAGACGAACTCTTTCGTGTCTCGAATCTCGTTGATTGAAAGGTGACTGACTGCACAAAGAGTGACAATTCACCTATTGCTTTTTACTCGTTTAGTTATGAAAAATCAATATATACATCTGAAGTTTGTCTTTTAAAAACTTGATTCTGCTCGAAGGCTATCAAAATGTGGAAAGCGATCATTAATATTCCAGATGCTGTATGTAATAGTTTTCTTATATGACAGCAATTAGTTCAGATTCATTATTTCTTAACTTGTTAGGTGAGCTAAGATGTCTGAAGGCGACTGAAATTCATTATGATTTCCTGTGCGGACACGTCTAAGATTCAAACATAGCAGATGTCATATAGAATCGTATTCTGACATTTTTTCGACTCGTGCAGTTAGTCCTTTTTCTACTTGAGGAACAGTCGAGTTGTTGTTTTTCTGTTATACATTTAAATATTTTGGATATTCACTAGAAATAAAAACTTTGAGACATTGACTTTTCTGTATTGTTCTATATCTTGTTTGTCTCGTTCAGAAATTTTTAGTACTGTTCTGCAGAACTTTAATTACAACACAAATAATTTTATAGTAGAAGGTGCGGCGAAACAACTTCTTTCACAAAACAAATAAATTGCCGAACATTTTTGATTTTTAATGACCAAGCTTTTAAGAGTATCGATATTTTTATAATTAATTATTTTTAGTTTTGTTCAATTTAAAATCTGAAATGCTAAACTCTGTTTTAAAATAACATGTATTATGTTAGATGATGTAAGACTACCGCGTCGCTTGATGTCGAGGTTAATCGAGCTCCGATTGTTTTTTTACAACAAAGGTTTATTTCACTAGACTCATGTTCAAAATTGGAAAATAAAATTGTTTATTTTTTTCGATAATTTTCTTTTAAAAGGGTGGTCAAATATTGCGAAATGCTACAACATTGAGTGTTATATTGAACATTCCTGTTCGAGTTAAAAATATTCGAGCAGGACGATCACAAGGTGGATTACGACCACAACATTTAACTAGCATTCAACTTTTAGCAGAATTTTCTGAAGCAAAACTTGATCATGCAAATATTGGTACAACAGATATTCAATTTACACCAAAAACAATTAAAGGTGGAAATTATGTAGGTGATACAAAAACAGCTGGGTAAGCCTTTTCTATTTAAATCAAGAGCAGAAAAAAAAATAATAAAGAAGATTTTTATTTATAAGGAGTATATGTTTAATGATGCAAACTGCTATTCCATGTTTACTTTTTGCTAATGGACCATCTGAATTGAAATTACTTGGAGGTACAAATACTGAATTTGCACCCGATATTGATTATTATAAACTTGTAATGTACATCTTTTTTTATTTTTAACAATAGTAAATTTCTTTGCTTTTCTTTGTCAATAGGTGTTTCAACCAATAGCTAAACGATTTAATTTTAATTTTGATTTAAATATTATGCGAAGGTTTGCAAAATTGAAGAGTTTCATAATATTAATAATTTATAGATTTTTATAGAGGTTATTATCCGAAAGGTGGAGGTGATGTGAGAATCAGTATTAATCCAATTGATCATCTAACAGCTATTGATCTAACTGATTTTGGACAGATCAAAAGATTTTTTGGTCGATCTTTTGTTGCTGGTAATTTTTCCAAACAGGTATTATGATCTATTTTTTTTTCAGATAATAAATTCATTTTGTTTAAATATATTTAGATTGCTGATAAAATGGCTGAAGCAGCTAAAAATTTAATACATAAACACTATTCAACAGAAATTCCGATAGAAATTGAAGTTGTTCAAGAACCAAATAATATAGCTATTGGGACAGCTAGTGGTATCATGTAAGAAAACATGCATAGAAAACAGATGGCGAAGAAACTTCTGCATTAATTTTTGTTTTTGATATAGCGTTGCAATAACATGTCGTAGAGACTTCATCTTTTTTTATTAGAAATAGCAAGATGTTTAGTGCGCTAATGTATAAACAAATTTTATTGAAAATGTTTTTCCAAGGTCAGAAAACTTTTTCACAATTCGTTTCAATTTAGTGAAGGCATCAATTTATAAGAAACGCTTTTTAATCCTTTTATCCAAGTTTTATAACGTAACAATAGGTGGTTATTCCTACACGACGAAAAAATAAATATTTTATATGTTTTACATCCACCGATATGAACTAGAGCTGTCAACAGGCTACTTTTTTTTCGGTCTAGCTTACAGAGCAAACCACGTCGATTGATGTCTTGTTTTTTTTAATCCACTTAGTTCTGTCGTCTTATTATAATATTCTAATCGAAAGTGACTAGCGCACCCTACACATTGTTCAAACGACGAAAGCTCATCAGGCCCAGATTCGGCATCAACTCGATAGGCTTTAGTGTGTGCAACATGCTGAAGAGAAGCTTATCGAGTATGCTATTAAATATTATTATCTGACAGACGATACAACTTGTCTATGAGATATTCAAGTAACACTTTGTTTTCGCATTATAAATCTCTAATTGAATTTTGAATCAAATTATCTGTTGTTTATTCTCTTGTACGATAGATCAGTTATTTTAATTCTACACAAAAAATCAATAATAAAAAAAAGTTAAACAAAATAAATTTTAAAACAAAAATTGTGACGAAAGTTACGGAAAATTTTTTTTTGAAACCAAATATGAAACCAGTCTGAATAGATCAGATCGGCGGATAACCGGTAAACATTCCATCTTTGCCTGACAAATTTTGTTCTATGATTTTTCTGATGCTTGAAAATCATATTCGATCAAATTCGTTTGTACAAATTTGCACTAGAAATTTCAATATTTCTAACTAAAAGAGAATGAGTTCTCTACGATATTGTATTGCAACTGTATATCAAAAATAAAATTAATGTAGAATGCTTGTTCGATCCCTCGAATTAATCTTTGGTATCAGACGAACTAAAATCATTTTCATAGGATTGGTGCAGAAACAACGACAGGTTGTTTACTTGCAGCAAATGCATTAGGTAAACGAGAGATATCACCATCGGATGTTGGAATACAAGCAACAGAAGAATTACTCAAAGATTTATCTCATGAAGCATGTGTTGATCGATATTTAGAAGATCAAGTTAGTGATTTAGTTCTTTTAAATAGAGATATTTAAATTAGTTTTCTTATATTAATAGTTAATTCTTTTAATGGCTCTTGCTAAAGGTCATTCAAAAATTCGATGTGGACCATTATCTGATCGTACTAAGACAGCAATTTATGTTGTTGAACATTTAACTAACGTTTGTTTTATTTCAAAAAATGTTTATCTAATATTTTTTTTTTGTTGTTTGTTACTATAGGTTAAATTCAAAATTATTGAAATTCCATCATCAAAAACAGACGATAAATCACATTTAACAACACTACAAGCATCAACATCTTCATTGAATATATCAAATTCTACAACTATTATTGAATGTGAAGGTTTAGGATATCAACGTCAACTTTGAAACTATTTTCTTGCAATCTCTTATTATTTTATATTCTATAGGTGGGTGAAAATAAATTTTTGGTTTTGTGTTTCAGATATTTATCTAATCATGTCGACGATAAATTAATTCTTATTGATTTTATTTTGCAAGATGGTATATCTTCGTCGTAATCTGATTTCATTCATAGATGTGACTCATGTATATTAATTGGTTCTTCTTATTGGAATGTTGTTTTTGGTTCATAAAATTCAATGTCCAATAGATAAAATAGAGACATATTGTCTTAAAATAATAATTTTTTAAATATCGCAGCAGACAAAAACTTAACAATATCGTATTAAAGCAATACAAACATTTATTTTTATTCATTTTTTCGACAGTACTCGAATGTATTCATGATATTAATACATAAATTATTCAAACAACACTTATGAAATATTATAAAACAACACTAATATTTCAATGTGAAAATCACTGAATGTTAGAAATTTTCAGTAACGTTGAACAAAAACAAACAATACTACTAATTTATCAGGTATAGTATATTCAATTAATATGTGTTTAAGTGTCAATCGAACATAAGTTAATTATACAATGGCATAATTTAAAACAAAATTCAAATAAAAAGATGCAAAATAAATCAATGCGCTGTTTTAACTGTAAAAAACAAAAAGAAGAAAGGTTTCATTTTTGATAAACTAAGAATGAAATAAAATTTATCTATTTTTTTCTTGGGTTTTATTTGTAAGAGTTCTAATCGAGAATTTCATTATACTCAGATTCTATAAGAAAAAAAAAATCTTGAACACAGATCGGTATCATTGTTATTATTGTCAAAGAAAAGAAAACGAACGTATGGTATGTTTGTGTGTGTTTTTTTTTGCGTTTATCATTGAAATGAAAAGAAACCGAAAGAAAAAAAAACACAGAAATACGAAAAAAAAATGAAAATAGAAACGAATGAAAAAGAATACACTAAGAGTATAATATGCATTTCTTACTGTCACGTACATCGAAATAGAGTAAGTCAATATACAGTGCAAAAAATAGTGATAGATAGATCGTATGTATTTGATCTATATGTATTATTCCTATGCTTTTCTATATAATAATTTAAGAATCGATTGTTCCTCTGATGATTTGTCACTTTCTTTATCCTTAGGCAAAGTCACCCATTTCACGAGTTCTCACCGATTTGATACATTCATATATAGAATGTTCAATTTAAATAAACAGAAAGAAAAGAGCAAAAAAAAAAGAATACTCCAATTGTATAGGTATATGAAATCAATAGTGTACATGTGCTTTTCTTAAGTATCTTGAGTGAATTTGTAATGAAAAGAAGAAGAAGAAGGAAAAAAATCATTCGCCATTCGATCAAAACTATCCTTGAAAATAAAAAAAAACACAAAACTATTTGCTTGTCACCTTTTGAATCAACATTATTACCAACTACGACCTAATATTCAGGTAATTATCAATTCATTTTTTTTAATACGTGAATAAATAAGGAGACATAGATTCTATCTTATTGAAGGTTATTATTATTATACTTCACATATAGTAAAATCAATTTTTTTCAGCAGTTTTTAGTTGAGTTAAACAAAAGAAATTTATTCATATATTTGAGTTTCTATAATTATCGTTAATTTCTCAACTATATTGAACGCAGCATAATTCTGTCTCGATTACTATGAGATATGATTGAGAACAGACTAATCAAATATTCAGAATTTTAACTTTTCGAGACATTGACCATCAATAAAACCAAAGAAAAAAATAAAGAATTTGCTTATTACAGTATTTAATCGATATAGTTTTTGTGAAGGTGCTTTCAATCGAATGAAAATTTTGTAATTACTTCCTCAGTAACTCTCACACCTCTTTAAACAAAGCTATGTTCCAAATATGCAACAAATTGCACAAAGACGTGTCCTGAGACTGGCAGAACTAAGTGAAAGAATTTGAGTACTTGTTTGGGAACCGATGAAGAAAACGAAGATTTCTGAAGATCGAGGGATACCTCTCATCAAACATTAAATAATCTACTTCATACAAAGTTCTCAAAATATACTTTTGATTTCTATTTTTTATGTACATTTCAAAAAACGAACATGAAATAATTGACGATATTGAATTTTAGATTATCTTTTCATTTCTTTATTTGATATAATTTCTATGAAAAAATTTTCGATTATGACACAGAAAAAAAAAGTACTTATCGGAATAGAGATTTTATTTGTTTTTCGAAATAAAATTATCACATGCTTCATGAGTTTCAAATGAAAACCTGATTGAAAGAGAAACACAAGTCGACTACTCTAAAGAAATGCATCATCATTCAATGATAAAGTTATAAAGATAAGACAAGACATCAATATAATAGCAAATAAAATATCTACGTTAGTTAGGTATTATTTGGACACAGGTTTGAACTATTGGACTCCATGTGTGTTTGTTAGCCAATTGGATAGTGAGATATTTTATATCAACAATATGCATATGGTAATTCGAAAGGGAGGACATATAATGTTGTCTTTTCTTTTTCTTTCTTTTGTCTTTTCTTTCTGTTGGGTTATTTTTTTTTATATATCATTATAGAAGAACGCTGATCGATTAACTCGTTCTCACTGTTATCTATCTTCTTTTTTTTTTCTTTTTCTCACTTATATTTTCGCTATATACCGTGCACGCATCGTTCGCATTCGTCTTATGCTGTCCATCAAAATTCTTCTGGTAACTGAATCAAACAAATAGACAAATCGGCTAGAACAGTATAGCTGATTATTATGTTCTAGTTTCTATCAACAAGCTCATTCAAAACTATACTTTAATGTATATATCTTAAACAAAAGGTCATTCTGACTCTTCGTTATTCATGATAGATTTTTTTCCTTTGATGATTGATATGGAATAGTAAAGAACAAATCATAAATTGAGGGGAAAAAAGAGAGTCCATGAACTTTCGTCCCTCGTCTTTTTTTTTTCTTTTCTATAACGAAACCATTGCATATGCTTTTCTAGATAGTTATACATAATCTCCCTTGCAGATTTGGGTTCTTATTCATGCTGTACAGTAGACTCTGTACTGTACGACATAACATCAACAGTACTATACTTTTTTCTTCTTTCGTCTACTTATCATATTTCCATAGGTCGTTTTGCCTTTTCTATTTGAACCCCGTTGTATCTTTTCGTGATATGAATAAAAACTATTTGTACTCTTTAGACACTCCTCTTTTTCGTTCTTTATTATGTAATTTCTCGAAAAATATTAATTTTTCCTAAATATTATATAATATTCTACGAAGAATATAGCTATTACTAACTATTCTTTCCAATATAAATTGATCTTCATCAAGTCAACATGTGCCTACACATACATAAACAATTGTTATAGAAAAAATATGATTTTATGCAAATTTATCTTTCTCTCTTTTTTTTTTGTTCTAGTATTTTTCTTATTTGTTTTTTTTTCTCGTCTACTTCATTTGTGTGTATTCATCAATTTAACAAATTAAAATAGATGATGAAACAACCAGAGGAAAATATTTCAACAACAAATTCTGATTTTATGACATGTAATGGTCATCAAGATGAATTAATAAAAACTCGTCAAGATTCTGATAATGATGATGCAGCAACAAATACAAGTTCAACATCATCAATTAATGATGTTTCATTTAATAATTGTCCTAATGTATCATCATCATCATCATCAAATTTAAATGCAAGTGGAATAACAACAACAAATCCAAATAATTCAAATGAACTTGTTCTTTTACCTGAAGTTTCATTTAATATACGAATACAATCACCTGGTTTAGATATATTTGATTTATCAGTAAGAAAAATTCAAGAAATAAGAAATAATAACAAATATTTCTTTTTTTTTCTAGGTAACATCAAGTGAACTTGTACAAGAAATTCATCAAGTTTTAATGGATAAAGAAGAAACATGTCATCGTACTTGTTTTTCATTACAACTTGATGGAATTATTTTAGATAATTTTTCTGAATTAAAAAATATTGATGGTTTAAAAGAAGGAAGTCTAATAAAAGTTGTTGAAGGTTAGAAGAAGAAAAAAAAACTTTTTTTTCTTTTGTTTTTGAAAAAACTTTTTTTTTTTTTGTATTATTTAGAACAATATACTGTACGTGAAGTACGTATTCATATACGACATATAAATGATTTAATACATGCATGTGATTTAAATGATTTATATAATGGTACAAATAATTATTCATTATGTCTTGTGAATGATATTAATAATAGTGAAACATCTTCATCATCATCATCATCGAATACTGGTAAAAATAAAAACATTTTATTATTTTCTATATTTGTTTTATGAATTTCTTTTTTCTAGATCGAAGAAAAAGTGCTGAAACTAGTGGAAGTGATTCTATTGTACCAGAATATCTTTTACCTAATCAAAAAGATATTCTACTTACACCACTTTTTACAACAAATAATAAAATTAATGTAAATATTTATTTGTTCTAACTTAGTTATAGGTTAGACTATGATTAGATATGTCATAATGAAGATAATAAATATATATTTACTTTATGTATTTATTAGAAATAGTTAAGACTATATTTTAGACATGCATCATATCAAAGATAACCTTTTCTGTATAGATAACATAAGTTTTTCTTATTAATCTGTATTAGTTTTACTTCAAAGCTGTTATTCTGAATTCATAGAGTACAAAATAACAGTTTTCCAGATTGACCGACTTTTTAGAAGTTTGATAGTTTTCAATATTTAATATAGATGCAATAATGCCTGGATTTTCAAGTCAAGTATTATTCTATTTCGAGCATTGAGAGCTATTGAAATTATGATCAGTTTCGAATACAAAACAAGAGTCTCCCTAAGTAATTGAAACTAACTCTAAAAATTTATATTTCATGTATTGTAATTGCAGCTTAGGAGTAAAAATGATACACATAATCGACAAAGACTTATGTTGTCTATATAAAAAAAAGGTCATCTTCGACATAATGTTTCAGGAGTTGTCGCATGTCTGTTATATATTTCCTTATTGCAATCGATTGCATTTTCTTCATTCATTCATTCGTGTAATACGGAATCGGATATATGTTAAGGAAATTGTTTTTCAACAATTAATCTTTTAATTATTTGCAATGGTTGTATTCATAAGACACAATCATGAAAGACTATTCAAGTTAATTATACATTTCTAATTCAAATCATTTGTAACTTTCATCAAATAAAGTCTTAAAATAATTACATAAAGAATTTTTGGTTAGTTATACAAAATATGTCCTTTTAATATATAACTAAAGATCTAATAAACAAATTCTATGCAGTCTGAATAAATGGTATATCTGTTATCATTTTCAATATGTGACATTTAAACAATACAAAATTGTGAATCTATAATTGAAGATTTTATTTTTTTTTCTAGCGATTACATTGTTTAAAAATATTGTCCTATAGTGGTTGGAATCCACCAAATGGTTCAAGAAAATTACATGGTGAATTAAATAAAAGAAACTTACCTTTTTAACTAGATTATTTTTTTCTTAAATAGGTGATCTTATGTATTTAAAAGTAACAACATGTGAAGAAAAAACATTTCATATAACAGCATGTACAAAAGGTTTTTATGTTAGTCAGTAAGTTAATTTTTTAATATTTATCTTATTATAATGAATTTATTTACAATTATATTAAAGAACAACAGATGAAAAATTTCTTCCAAAACCGGTGCAACCTAAAGCGATATTTCATTCACTTGTTGATCTATTAAATAATGTAAGATATTAAGATTTCAATAATAAAAATTATCTTTTTTTTTGTTTTTTTTTGGGAAAATATAGATTAGTCCAATTTTTAAAAAGAAATTTCGTGCTATACAACGTAAACGTTGTACAAAACATCCATTTGAACGTATACAAATTCCATTTCAAATACATCCATGGTTATCACCACGTTTTGAACATACAATAGATCATTTTCGAGCTGAAGATGGTATTATATAAAATTTATATATAATCATGAATATTATTTTTTTTTTTATTTTAGCAAATATAAATAAACTTGGTCATGAAGATCATATACCTGGTCAAGTACGTGATTGGAATGAAGAATTACAAATAACAAAAGAATTACCAAAGAAAAATTTACCTGAAAGACTTATACGTGAACGTGCAATGTTCAAAGTATAAAGAACTAGAAAATTTCTTTTTTTTTTTTAAATTTCGTTATTTTTAGGTTCATACTGATTTTGTTTCAGCTGCTATTCGTGGTTGTCAAGCTGTTGTTGATGGTAATATAATGGCTATTAATCCTGGTGAAGAATCAAAGTAAGTCAACTTGTTTTAAATGTAGTTGCCATTAGGCTTTAAGAGTGCGTTATATTTCTAAGTAAACTCGATTTAAGAACCGTACACTTATGGCAAGAGATGATTCTTTATTTTTAGAAATTCAGTTTCGTGACGAACGAATGTTCAGGATATTCTACTAGGCATTTGGCCTATCTATGAGTGAAACTTCATTATTTGATGTTTTAGTAATAATGATCATAACTCAATTTCAAAGTTCAATAGGCACAAACTTTTAAAATTCTACTAGTGTTACCAAAGCGTTTCTGTAAATTCAAATCGGGAGTATCAAAATTCGAATAATTCGCTCTTTAGATACATAACTAAGGCCTTCTGTTGGATGGTTATAAAAGAAGATTGAATTTAAAATGTATGTTTATGATCATTGAGGCATCTGTCGTATAATCTCTTGATTTTCAATATGTACAGATTATCGTATTTCATATTTTGATTTCATAAGAGGAAAAAAAAAATAACGATCTTTCAGTTGCAATATTTTCCTTTCATAATCGATTCTAAATAATTTTTCTAGAGTTCATATGTATATATGGAATAATATGTTCTTCAGTCTTGGTTTTGATGTAAAAGAACATTATAAAGATTTTGGTGGTGATGCTGCTGCTCACTCAGCACCAACAAATGATTTACAAGGTGTTCGTGCTATAAATACACTCGATTTAGATGGTTTACATACATTAGGTACTGTTGTTGTTGATTATCGTGGCATGCGTGTTACTGCCCAATCGATTGTCCCCGGTAAGCAAACATTTTTCTTTTTTTTCCTTCTTTCTTTCTTATAATCGGCAATATAAGCGAGAAATAACAGAGAAAGAATTATCACACGACTAGAAGAAACGTATAAAATTATGTTAATACATCATCATCGACAACGATGGTTATTTATTATTTTGATATTTGGATTTTTTTTATTAATATATAAATATAATCAAATAAGAAAATATTATTTTACTGATGAACATCGTATATATACTTCATTACTTATTGAATTACCAAATATTGAACGTTTAATACGTTTAAAACAAGCAAATTTAACAATAATACAAAATCGTTTAAAAAAAATTGAAAAATATTTAACTAAATATACATGGCATTTAAATCGTTTAATTAAAACAATTGATTATAATAAAAAAGAAGAAAAAAAAATATTTCATTTTAATTCATTTGATTTTGATTTAGAAAAAAATATTCATAAAAATTATACAAAATTTCTTGTTTGTTTTCATTTAATTAAAAGTTCAAATGATGATATTGATTATCAAATATTAAATGAATTTCATTTAAAAATTTCTAAAATTAATAGTCCTTATATAACATTAAATAAAAGTGAAGCTTATTTAAATATTATTTATTTACCAATACAATCATATCAACGAAATATTTGTTATAAAGATTTAATTAATGAAAATTATTTTGTTTTATATGAATTTTTAAATCCTATTAATGAAGATATTGATGAAAAATGTTTTCATGGAAATTTTCTTCATGTAAAATTTTTTACTCAATTTAATACAAATCAAACATATGTTAATAATGATCGTTGGCGTTTGAATGATGAAGAAAAATCACCTATTGGTATTATTTATTTAAATACAACTGGTAAGTTTAAAAAAAAAAAGACTATTTTATCAACGTCAAAAGACAATAAGAAGATTTCACCCGGAGATGGAACCGGTCTAGTTTTTTAGACCGGTTCGTCGACAGAAACCGATTTACCAAAAAAAGTTGATCTGACAGGTCTACAGGTACTAAACAGGATGCTGATGATACGTCAGTTTATAAAAGAAAAACTGACCTATCGACAAAATATCGATCTATAGACAACAGGCTAAGGCTTAAAATGAAGCCTTGTTTCATGTCTCACTGATGAATATTTAGTTCACTGTTTAGAAGAGATCATCCAACACCATAGAATTCAGCTCAAATTCGATGAGTATAGTAATCTACTAAAACTTTTGCCATTCCCCTAAGATGCTCGCTAGTAGTAGATATCGTCCCTACAACTAATACCAGTTGTAATTTTGAACAGAAGACCTAAATTCTTGCGCTCAATTAATCGAATTTCCTATACATTCTAATCAACTATATACTAGTCGCAGCAGCAAGTGTATGGCAAAATGTAGTCACCCAGCTATTGGACGTTTCATGGCTCTTGATCTTGAGCTTTACATACAGTACCTTGTGGATACATGCAGAAGAATGTAGCTATTTAGACATGGTCGCATTCCTTGTCTTGACCTCTTTTCGAGTATTTCTAAGATCATTGAACTGGAATTAGAATTTCTGAAAAACTCATGTAACTCTTGAATAGAATAATTTAAATAAGTCAACTTTGTGTAGATCAAAATAAAACAAATTTGTCTATTCTGATGAAAGAGACTATTAAATTTCATAACTTTAAAAATTTTCTATTAATTGAAGTTAAAGATTTTAAAATATTTTATTTTTATTTTAGCTATTATTGCTGCACATGAATATGATCGATTAAAAAATGCTTATGAAATAACAATTGAATGTTCTCATCGATCTTGTTATCAAACAATTTTGAATAAAAATATATCTATTATATCTCTTATTTGTTCTTCTATATATTCTATTTCAATTCAATATGAATTCTATGATGCGTTTTTTTATTTTCTTTCACAACAAATTCATATAAATCTTTTCAATTGTGAAAATTATCTTCCATATTCAAATATAATTGATTGGTTACATCCATCAATATCTCTATCATGGTTATATACAATTTATTTTCAAACATTTCAACATCGTTTTCATACATTAATTGCTTATTTACGTACATATTATCGTTTACCAACATTATCAAATGAATTAAAATTTCATGAAATAAAAAATCAATTAGTAAAAGAAAAAAATTTTTATTATTTAATTCATTCACGAAATATTAATTTTACTCGAATGTCAATTGGTTTAATGGATAAAATTAATTTTCAAACAAATAAAAAATATTCAATACATATAGAACCAACATTTTATGATCAATGGAATCGTTTATATCAACCATTTTATCGTTCAAAAACACAAACAAATCCATTTGAAATATCATTTTCACATAATAAATATACAATTATTATTTTAACACATAAAAAACGTTTTTATCAATTAAATCGTTTATTATTACATTTAAATGGTTTAATTAATCTTGATCGTATACTTGTTTTATTTAATCAAGTTGATTCGATAGAAAATTTTCATAATAAAAATTTTTCATTAAATAATTTTCTTGATAATTATTCTATATATTTACCATCAATACATGTTGATATTATTTATATATTTAATTTAACAAATAATTTAAATAATCGTTTTTTACCATGGAATGAATTTATTCATACTGATTGTATATTATCATTAGATGATGATAGTTTTTTACGACATGATGAAATTGAATATGCATTTCATATATGGAAAGAATATCCTTCACGTCTTATTGGTTTTATTTCACGTTCACATAAATCTAATACATTAGAATATGATGCATCATCATTATTATGTTCATATTCAATGATATTAACTGGTGCAGCTTTTTTACATCGTTGGTATTTAGATTTTTATACAAATATTATGTCTGAACAAATACGTCAATATATTAAATTACATATGAATTGTGAAGATATAGCTATGAATTTTTTAATAAGTTATTTAACAAAACAAACACCTATTAAAATTGGACATCGTGAAACATTTTATTGTTATAAATGTCAAGATAGTTTATCAAGTAAAATTAATCATTATCAACAACGAACGGAATGTATAAAATATTTTTCTAATATATATCGTTTAATACCATTACATTATTCAATTCATCATATTGATTCTTTATTAAATATAAGATCTTGTCTTTAATAGAAATATATAAATAAACAAAATAAAAATTCTATTTATTATTATTATTATTATTATTATGATTATTGATTTATGTTTTTTTTTTGTTTTTTTTAGGTATTCTTGAGAAAGAACAAGAACAAAGTGTTGTTTATGGATCAACAGATTTTGGTAAAACTTGTACAACAAATGAAAAATATAAAGAATTATTGGAAAAAGTTTCAACTATGCTTAAAATTAAACCACATACAATTAAAACAGAAAAAGGAGATTCTATAGAATTATTAACAGCTGTCGAATGTAAAGGTATTATTGGTAATGATGGAAGACATTATTTATTAGATTTATTACGTATGACACCACCTGATCTTAATTATTTACCAGGTAAGTTAATATTTATTTAAATTTTTCTATTTTAAAAAAAAATAGTGAAATACAAAGAAAATAACTAATGTTCATTTTAGAGTTAAATGGTTGTGAGAATTTAAATTTTGATAGGAATGAGATAGAGATCTCCGATTTTCACCGTTGGAAAGAGTAGATGAAGATGCATCGAATTATGTATAGAAAGATTTTTTAGCTACTTTCCTATAGGTTTTATATAAAACTTCAAGAAAAAACAGTATGCTTCTCATGATATTAATTTATTGATTTTCAGGAGTGCGCTAGAATCACCAAAGGAAGGGGTACAAAAAACTATATCAAGACTCTGTTCCTAACTACTACCACTATCGAAATACAATTTACCATCTCATTTTTTTTCAATAAAATAATCGAAAAATGTAAATTTTTTCCAGTATTTTGATAGAAAAGCCACTTGTTTAACGTAGGAGAAAAAAAAAGCAATTCTTTGAAAATGTTTGACTAAACCTTTAGAAAAATCTTTCTATATATAATTCGATGCGTCTTCAACTGCTCTTTCCAACGGTGGAAACTGCAGATCCCTATCAAAAGCTATTCAAAAAAATACCCACGGCCATTTATAACTCTGAAATGGACATTAATTGAAAGGTTACTGAAGACATAGATGTAACCGATTAGCTCCGGCTGAGACCATGCTTAATAGTTATAAATTCATCTATTCACTTCCGTCCCTAACTAATTTCTGAAGAAATATTAATAAGATATTTTATTACTTGAATAATCATCTAATATTCATTTGATTGAAAAAAAATATGTTTCGTATTTTCAGAGCGGTTGTTCAGTGTCGGTTATATAATTTCATTGAAAGTATCTTAATACGATTTGATCTGATTTGAATTCGAAAATTTTTTAATCCAGTGTACTCTAGTTACCGATAGAACAATGAATAGTTAAAGAGAAGGAATTTATTAGAGATGCATATGGTCTCAGTTGGAGTTTCGTTACTTTATTTATGTTTATATATTTAGTTGATGTTGAACATTTATCACCATCTATGAAACAATTTGATTATCCAAAAACATATAAACATCGTTTATGTTGTTTAAGACAAGAATTAATAGATGCTTTTGTTGAGTAAGATTGAACGTTTTATAAAAACTCAAATTTTCTTTCATATCTAGACAAAAATATGTCGATTTTTATCGTTCAATTGCACTTAATTTATCAAGATTACGATCTAATGAAGTATGTTTTTATATATATTAATAATTAAAAAAAAACTTTATTTTATTGATAATCTTAGTCAATATCAAACGAAACTACTGAACGAACAAATGTCGAAGAAGCTAAACGTATTGTTAATGAAATTAGTGGTAAAATAAATTAATCAGTAAAATAAATATATTTAATTAATTTTATATCTTATAGTTGAAGATAATAGTCGAGAAATAATTCAATCAGCATGTCGTTCGATTGGTTCAGTAAAAGATAATGAATTTGATGTTCGTTTTAATCCTGATTTATTTCAACCACATGTAACACTTAATCAAACGGTAGACAAATAGAAAAATTCTTTTATTAGAATATTTATTTATTTATTTTTCTAGTCCGATGAAACAATAGCTGATATAAAATTACTTAAAGAAGCAGCTGAATATTTAGTATTAAAACAAATTCCATTAATGATACAAGATTTTCAAGATCATTCATCTGTACCTGTCGATGGTGAAAGTCTTTCAGAAGCTATGCATTCAAGGTAGAAAAATATTGAATTCAACAGTTATATTTTGTTGTGTGAAATGGACTAACGAGAAAGTGTTCAATCATTTTTAAAATTAGTTTTATATTATTCTATAGACCGTTTGAAACTAGAGAAATCGTAAAAATGTTCATGTGGATGAGTCACTTTTATTATATTGAATGAATTTTTCTAGCAAAATATTATAGTCTGTATAGAATCGACATTTGAATTTCAAGTTTAAACTTGACAATAACTAAAGTTCTCAATGAAGATTAATGAATTTTGAAAATTCTAATATCTTTTATTCTTAAATACTTTCAAAATAAACGAGTCATAATTTAATAGATATGAATTCTCTAATTTCAAAACATGAAGATTTCTATTAATTGGATGTAAAAAAATTTGAACTGAACAGATTCTAACATCATGAAATAGGACTTATATCAAAAGCGATTGATCTCATTCGAAAGTTCTCCTAAGGTTAAATATTTACTTTTTAAATTCAGTCAATAGAAAATTGAAATATTTCTTTTTATTTAGGGGTATTAATATTCGTTATCTTGGTCGTATAGCTCAACTTCTTACTCAACAATCTTCTCTTACATATATATATGTAAGTTAAATTTTTGATTTTTATATTTATTCTATTAAATTTTTTTTCGTAAAATTTATTTAGGAAATAGTTGTAACTGAAATTCTTTGTCGAAGTACAAAACATGTATTTCGTACATATTTACAATCAGTACCAATTCATCTTTTATCATATTCAATAAGTCATTTTCTTAATTGTTTTCTAACAATTATATCATTACCAACAACAGATTATACATTTGATGAATTAGCATCAGCAACAACTATTCAATCAACAAATACTACATCAAATGTATTATTAACAAATTCAACAAATATTTCATCTCAAAAATCTAATGCTAAAAAGAAAAATAAAAAACAACAACAACAACAACGTAAACATAGTCCTATGATGAGAAATGGTAAAAAATTTTAGAAAATAATTACAAATTAATTTCTTGTTTTATAGAATCATTAGAGTTTTCATCAATAACTTCAAAAGTACTTTGGTCCCAAATAATTAATGAAGCAAAATCAAGATATAGTTTTGATTTAAATTGGTAATGAATTTTACAATTATTTATTTCAATATATAAAGATCATGCAACACTTGATTGGATCCGCTTTGGTATTTTGAGGAAAATTTTATAGAGAAACTATAAAACTGCTTCAGTTCGAAAGTTTAGTTTCGACTATTTCAGTAGATATTCTGTTCAGTGATTTATCTACTGGGTGGGCCGAGTGGGCGCCGCCCACCCGAAATTTTGACTCATCTACTCGGGAAACGAAACCTAGATAAAACATTGATTCTGTTTATAGTTACTTGTCGAATGGTTAGTTTATTTAGATTGACTATCAAAATATCTTCATGCAACAGAGTCAATAGTAAAATCGTACACATACTAAGAGATATTCAAAAATCTTGGTTTCATGTCGCAATATTTCCGCCTTTGAAGATATTCTCATTTTCTTTTTAAGTGCACACTAGAATTTTAACCTGTTTCGGTAAATACCAACAAATCGAATAGTGGTATTGCGACCTGAGATTTAGAGAGCTGTTTTTTTTAGGATTTTACTATCTTGAACGGGACACATTTGTGTGAGTTGATCAAATCAATAAAAATCGTATTTTCGAATGTTTGAAATCATCTAGCATATTGATGCATAATAAAACTTTGATAATAATATAGAAAGTATAATAAAAACATTTTCTCGCTCTCTCATATGAACAGTCTACAAGTATCATTTGATAACAAAAATATGAACACTCTTTTCTTTTTTCATGATAATTATTTTTATTATTTATCATAGTGATGATATTGAATCATTTGTTGAAAATTATGCTGTTCGTCGTACATGTATTTTACGTTCATTTTGTCGAAAAACTGGTTTACAAATAACTATGCGTGAATATCAATTTGAAACAATAAATAAATCAATTCGTTCAAATAATGAATGTTTTAATGAAAATGATATTATTAATATATTTCCAATAATAAAACATGTTCCACCAAAAGTAAAAATTTTTATTGTCTAGATAAATTTAAACATTTAGTTTATCTCTTTGTTTTCTTTTTTTATTATTATTTATTTTAGCCAAGTGATGCTTATCAATTTTTTACAAGTGGACAACAAAAAATTCAACAAGGTTTACTTCGTGAAGGTTTTGAATTAATATCTGAAGCACATAATTTATTAAATAATGTTTATGGACCAATGCATCCTGAAATTAGTATGTGTTTAAGATTACTTGCACGATTAAATTATATTATGGGAGATTATCAAGAAGCACTTATGACACAACATAAAGCTGTTATGATGTCTGAACGAGTTTTAGGTATTGATCATCCACAAACAGCAACAGAATATGTAAGATTTTTCTTTTTCTTTTTTATAATAAACTAGAATATAAAATTTTCAATTAGATTCATATGGCATTATATTCATTTGCAAATGGTCTTTCAATAAATGCATCAAAATTACTTTGTCGTGCTCGATATATTATATTAACATGTTGTGGTGAAAATCATCCACAAATTAGTCTTATTGATGTAAGAAAAACAAAATATTTGTTGTTGTTTTTTTTTTTGAATTTTTTAATAAAAATATATTATTAAATATTTTTAATTAGAGTAATCTTGGATTGATTTTACAATCATATGGTGATTATGAAAATGCACTTAAATTTATGGAAAAATCACTTGAATTAAATAAAACGTAAGTAATTGATTCATTTTTTTTTGTATGGAGAGTCCTATTGAAAAACTGTGTAAACGAACAGAAGGATTAAACATGGCATATTGTTATTGATTTTTGCATAGCTTCATAGATCAGATTAGATTCAATAAAGATATGTTGAATATAACGGATGTTAACTATATGCGAAACGTAGTTGCAATTCTGTTGTTGATTTAAGTTATGAATTTAACGAATAATCTTATGTTCAAAAACTCTTTTGTTAATGAAAAATACTATGTCAAACATGACTTGTTGATTTCATTTCTCTGAACAAGAATATTAGCTTTAAATGACAAAAATTAGTTCATTTCGATTTTTCCTAGTTTTTATAAAAGCTAATCTTAAATTTTGAGAACGATTATTGTAAAAATAAAAATTTCGAGTACAAATTTAATCTGTTTTTCGAACTTTGTCGTTATAATTTTCAATATGTATTTTAGTTTCTATGGAACAAAGAGTCTTAAAGTAGCTTTATCTCATCATCTTTGTGCACGTATTCAATCATGTCGTGGAGATTTTCGATCAGCATTGAACAGTGAACGTGAAGCTTATCAAATATATAAATTACAAGTAAACATTAAACAAATAAACTATTGAAATTGATTTGTATCTTTTTTTTTCCTCTTAGCTTGGTGATGAACATGAAAGAACACGTGAAAGTGCTCAAGTACTTAAACATTTAACTGAACAAGCCGTTGTTTTACAAAAACGAATCAATGATGTTGTTAAAGGTCAATTACTTGTCATACCAAGTTTAACAGTAAGTATTCAAATTTTTTTTGTGCGAGACACATACTCTGTCAATGAATGTACATTACTAATGAAACTGCACAGTACAAAAAGAGTTAAGATTAATGGTATTTATTTCTACTGTGTGAAATGCTGTCAATTAAACATATGATTTATCTAAAAGATGAACTTATTTGCTTGAAGATAGCGACTTTTGGATGACTGTGAATTCTTGAATAATTATTGGTTAAGTTTCTCTAAAAATTTGGCTTTATTACACACTTATGATTACTATTTCAGAAAGGATTGATGCATGTCATTGGAATTATTTAGCATAGATAGTTGAAACATCGCACTACATAATTCATAAAAAGGTGAACGTCTCTGTGACATACATCTGCTTTTGTGGTTAATTAATATTTATGAAGAGCGGAAGTAATTGAGCGTAAGAACTATATCAGACTGACGTTCCGCTCAGAGCTACAACTAGTAAGAACTATGTGAAAGATAGCGAGTGAGTGAATCAGCTACAAAGCACAGCTATTCTTCTCTTCTCTTTGTTACGCAAGCAATCGGACTCCAACTTTATCTTTGATCTACATTCTTAACAGAGTATTGTGCATACAAATTTACCAGATGTTGAACATGTATGTTAGTTGAAAAATCGTTCTACTATTGTATATATTTTCTTTGATTTAATTTACAATAAAATAAATTTAGATTCAACAGCCAAGTTTTCAAAATGTCTTAGAAATGCTTAATGTTGTTAATGGTATTCTATTTATTCAAATACGAGAAAAAGATCTTGATTTACTTCGTGAAGAATTTGCTAAACAATCAATTGATGATCAACAAGCATCAACATCTTCTGTGACTACTATATCAGAAGTAGCTAATCAAGCAGCAGCATTATTAAATAATGAAATCGATTAAGACATATAGGCGATTGATTTATTCGCCTTTTAGTCTGATATGTTTTCATGTTTGTTTTGTTTTTCTTGTAGTTTCTAGGGCAATTACTCTTGGTGTTTGCGAGTGTTTATTTGTTGGAAAAAAAATTTTTTTCTTTTTATTGTCTAGTCTTTTCTGTAGACGTTTGTTTCTCTTTAGCCGAGCACATTAATTCGTTGACAGAGTGATCATATCATTTTTCTTTTGTTTGTGCATCAAGTTCGACTAGGTAAATGTGTTATGTGTTCTGCTAACTGATGATCGAAAATATTGTTTTTCGATTGCAGTAGTCAGTCTACTTCTGATTTGTTTGTTGTTCTTTCATTTTTTTTTTCTTTTACTATATTACATTGCTATTGATAAAAATATTAGCAATGTTATAGTTTTTGTTTTGTTCCTAAAACTTGTGCTGTTTATTGACCGATTTGTTTAGTTTAAAAATCTAAGAGACAGTAGAGAAAAAGAAAAGAAAAGAAAACTAACAATGTTTTTTTCTTTTTTGTTTGCCAACTATTTTTCTCTTTAAAAAATATACCGAAAAGTAAAATTGATATGAATTTGTCTGATTTTTGCTAATTGATTTCTACAAGAAAAGATATTCTTTGGATTTTTTATTCTACAGTTTGATGAATGATTTTAGCAAGTAAATAAACGAAATAGAACATGCAGTAAGATTTTTTTAAATTATACTTATTGATTAACAAGGCTTCAAAGTCACAGTGGCATCATTATTATTTCAAATGCAGTGAAATCTACTTCTATTTTCTCATTGAGTTCTAGCAAAGTCAATGGACCCAATAATTACATTGTTCAGAAGTACATTGCACTAATTCACTGACAGAGCCGATAAAAAATGCATCTACAAAGTATGGATTGTTTAGTAACTGAAACACAAACAGAATCGATGATGATAATTAACTTTTTAAAAGACACATGATCACCATTACATAAGGTTTTGAAAGAAATTTATTTACTTCCTTTCACTAAAAGCATTAGTGGAAAATTATTCAAAAAAGATGGAAGATAATACGAGGTAAACTAAGTTGAATCGATTTCGACACTTGCTCGTTAAAATACAATGAAATATATTGAATGTGATATACTAAAAAATCAAGATGATTCTCGTCAATCAATTCTCTCGCTATCGAAACCTTGATAACGCCACTCGCGCAAGGTCTTATTACAAAAACGAAGTAAACCATGGAGTAAAACTCTAGTTTTCTGGTAATTTTTGCTTCATGAAAATGATTTAAACTATCTTGAAATATACACCAATGACTTTCTGTGTAAATTTAATTGTCATTCAAATGAATCCTTTGTTAGTAATAGAAAAAAAAATTATATGTTATAGTTCATTAAGAATCATAGTTTTCGTTTTAATAATATGAAATAAAAAAAAAAGAGACCAATACATATATAAAAAGAAGAAGTATCTGACTGAACATATGAAATAATATAAGATGGAATCATATTAAAAGCTAACTAATACAAGTGATACAAGTGAATAAAGAACAAATTTATAACTAATATCAATTAAATATAATGTGCGTTGAGATTGGCGATCAGATTTTTTTGTAAAAAATACACGATTCCAACCGTTGAACTAAAAAAAGAAAATGACAACTTTTAAAGATATATCAATCATAGATAACAAACTAAACAAATTAAAAAAATCTCTAGACTTGCTCATTTAATACTTAATATTATTTTTAATACAAAAACTTACAGCATAAAATCCACATAATATTCCAGCGGTCAACATAGCACTAAGATATTGATGTTTTCGAATATTGAATGCAATTAATAATAAATTTAAAAATATAGAACTTAATAAAGTTCCTAAATGTGCCATAAAAAGAGCCATCATAACAACCTTACTATCACAGGTCTCACAATCTGACCATTTCATTGCTTTCATCCATTGTTTTTGAAAACCTAATGGCGAATACCATAGATTACCAACAATCATATTAATAATAATAATTAAAAGAATTTTTACTAATGATGTAAATGTAAATGATATTGCTAAAAGTTCTAACATGTCTTTTTTTTGAACAAAGAAAATAATCAGAAAGTATGTAGTAGTAATCGAATTCAGAAATGAAATGAAAGTTTAGAATAATTTTACTATGTATGATCTTTGTTCAGTAATACATTGGACTCTTTTAAAACGTGTTTAGTACGTTTAGAAAAATATTTTCCATTGAAGAATAATGATAATTAGTCATAGAACAAAAATAATTTTAAAGAAATTATGCATTATTTTGTAAAATTTTTCATAATTTAAAAAAAAGAAGAGTTCACTACAATCGATGTAGATAAGGTTTTCGATTTAATCAAAATAAAATATCATAGTTTCTTTTTGTCAAAAATATCTTTATGAATAATTAAACTATATTGCGACGAATTATTTGAAGGATTTTTCTTCCAAAAAATAGATATGAAACAAATCTTACATGTAACAATCTATTATATTACGGGTTTCGGATCTTTCGACATGAAATTTTCTTTTGACCTTTCGTTTCTCTATTATACGGACGTTCATTGCCGAGTTTTGAATCGTTGGAGAATTTTTCATGTATATAAAAGTTTTGGCCAACGGTTTTTTGGTAGCTATAGAAAGTTGTAAATGTTTTTTTTTTGAGAGTAAAATTAGGATGTGAGTGTGAATGAAGACAAGTTTTCAACACTCATATTCTCGCCCACACCGACACTCTTCATGTCTCATCAAGGCCTGCTCATTTGCAAAATATCAGCTCAAAGATAAAGCACGGCACGAGTACAACTTTTCGTATTCGTATTCAACGAATATGTTGCTGTACTTTATTCAAAAGAACACAGACACCTGAGAATGTTCTTTCGTTAGCACTAAACGCACGAACACGTCTCCCACATCTCCGCACTTTTATTTACGTCTCTGATACGAGCTATCAAGAAAAAAACAATCTAAAGTTTAGGCAATATTCACTCTCAAAATGCTTGAATACTATCTATGATATCATATACTGACGTATACAATAATGATGAAAAAATGATTATAGTACCAAGTTGGCTAGATACCATTAAGCTACAAGATAAGTTTTTCAAATTCCATCATTTAAGACTCACAAGAAAGAAATTGTTCGATTGTTTTCTTCAAATCGAAATAATTGATGTTGTCTTTTCTTTATTATAGTTGATTCTACAATACTTTCTTATTTTTGTAGTAAAATATTATAATATTAACAACATCGTACTTCATTGCTGTAAGCTTCTAAAAGAGTTTGTCAACAGTTTATGTTGTAATTTTCTTAATGTTATCTTTTATTTGTGTTGCTTTTTATTTTTTGATAAGATAACCTTCTATCATATTCGAATAAGAATTCATCATAATAAATTGTAATAAGAAAAGAGAAAGATGAAAACTCGATCAAAAATTAATTCATTATAACAACATCATTTTATGGGTTGCATACAATTTAAAGTTAAACCAAATGCATCGGAGAAATCTCACTCAAACGTCTCACATGTTGATATTGTCCACGATATATCAGATGATCCAAACATGTCAAACATATCTTCGACAGTTGTTTATAGAAATCCATTGTCAATATCAACAAACCTGGTTGTTTCATCGGTCATTTCAGATGAATCAGAAGATTTAACATCATATCCAGAATCTGTCATATCAGAGACACTTGTTAAATCAACCCAATCAAATAATTATCATAATCCTGTTAATAAAGAAACTTCAATGAAGTCTGATAAAGCAACTTCACTTAATAAGATAACTATTGCTTCAACATCAATCGATTCAAACGAACCTTCAACATCTAAAGAAAATATTTCAAAAACACAAATCAAGAATGCAAATCTTTTGAATATTCCTCCTGTAGATAACGATATTCCCATCACATCGAATGAATTATATCGAATTTATCATCGTATCAATTCACCATCGATCCGCTCAGATACTGTCCTATATCGTCGCAATACTAACAATCGCTTTTTATCTGCTAGAGAAAATGAATTCGATACATATCAAGAATCAAGACATAATAATGATAATTATACCGAATCAGATACGTCTTTGCCTAATCATAATAGTATTATCCGTACAATATCGACCGATTCCGAAGGATCGGTAACATCTCAAGTAGAACCCTATGGAAGTGTATTTATTTGTCCGAAACATACAAATTTTCAACAAAAACCTTCTAGTAAATCAGATAAGTCTGAACTAAAACATGAAAAATGTGATAGTTCAGCAGTTGTAGATATGAAAGTGATGACAAAAAATTTGGTAACTGCTCTGAAAACGACATCTGCTAAGTTAAGCATTTCAGGTTTTCATCATAGTGGAGCTGTTAGTGAAACAGAAAGCGATGTGGATGAATTTTAGTTAAAATTAGTAGCAACAATGGAACAAGTAAATGGAAAATATTTATTATGAAATCATAATAGAAACAAATGATTCGTATGATCAATCAATAATACATTGACTCGCCATATCATTTTGGTTTTTTATTTTAGAAAAAAGATAAATAACGTAACTTTTCTCGCATGGAAAACTACTAGAGGATATTTGTATGTAATCATTTTCTCTGATAAAAATTGCGAAATAAAATATTCAATTATATCTAGTACAAAGAATATGTTTTACATTTGTATTTTAAAAGTAGTAAATGTGCAGAATTATCTCGAAATATGCCGGAGTTAAGAAAAATATAACTTATTTCATTCTTGAGATGAAATGTCTCAGTATTAATGTATAATACTGTTTTACTTCAGCACTGAAACCTTAACAATCTCGGTTCCATGCGATATTATGGGGATCCAGGTTCTAAGGAATGGAACAATCTATCATTAACAATAAAAGAATAAACCTATTTTCAACTGTAGACGGAACCCACCTCCATGCAAAATTTTTTTCGGGCTACGCCATTAGTTTTAATTGTAATCAAAAGGCAAATAATTAGACAAAATATAAATGTACTTGTTCGTGATTCTAAATTCACCTGTAATATTTATCTTTCTTGTAATTAATACCTGATGTAAGATTCTTTTTTTGATGGTCTTTTCCATCTTGTTTAGAAATAATTTATCTATATAATAAAACAGTCACTTATCAAACGTAATGGTCTGTGTTGAGAATTGCAATATAACTTCCAGTTTCCATTTCTCACTAGAATTGCTTTCATCCAAGTATTGATTAGAAAGACAACAGTTTTAAAAAATATTTTATTAGAGGCAGTGCAGACGTATCAACATTATTAGAATGCATCGAAATCGGCTCAATTTTCTATCAGTTTTGACAGATTTCAAAAATATTCGACAGTACTTATCACATTGGTATTCAATGGTAATACATTGTGTCTTATTCATTGCTATAGGAGCTATTGTAATTTTAAAAATTTCTTTAACTTCATAATGTATTAAATTCCAAAAGCTTTTAAATGTTTCTATATAATTAAATTTCGTTGTTCTATCGTCCACCCACATCCTTACTCCACAAAAAACTGCGTAGTACATATGATAAGATGTAATCAATTAGTTTGCATATACTCAATCACCTATTTGATCTCCCACAATTTCATATGTTTTTGTTATCCTTGTCATTAATACAACAATAATAATTTTCAGTATAAAAACAAATGCCAAATGGATTTTCATATTATCCATTAGGATATAAATATGTTGTCTCAAACTTTAATCGTCTTTTCTCTTTGTTTCTGTATTGTCTTCAACACTCCTATCCCTAGTTCCGTCGAAAATGGAATTAATTATGAATGGCTAGGTAATTATTGACATTAATTATTCAGTGATGTGGATTTGATTTATTAAATACGTGGTGGCTTCGAAGGTGATATGATCTTTCCTAATGGATTCGATCCAACAATTGAATCGACTGGAAGAGGTGTGGCTATTTAAGGACCTTGTCGTTGGTTTAAAAATGTAATTCCCTATGATATGTCATTAATTACAAGTAAAATAATTTTGAAAAATAAAACGTAATTAAAGTAAAAAAGAAATATTTTACAGATGCTGGACATCGTAGTATGATTGAATCAGCAATGGCCACATTAGTGAATGTCACTCGTACACCTATATCAGGTCAAACAACACGTAAACCATGTTTTACTTTTTGACCTGCATTACCAAAGGAATCAAACATTCTTAAGATTAATTATGGAACTGGTTGTAGTGCAACAGTATATTGAAGAAATATATTTTGTTTAAAACTATCGAAAGTAATCTTTTTTTCTCTCTCTCTTAGGTTGGTTTTTCATTTGCTCCAAATACTATGACACTTGCATATTCTGGATGTTTTGGTTCTGGTACTATTCAACATGAACTTATGCACGTTCTTGGTAATGAATGAAAAAATTTTATTAATATTTTTTTTTATATGAAATCGATTAGTCATCTATTGTCTTCTTAGGTTTTTATCATGAACAATCACGGCCAGATCGTGATACATATGTTACTATTAATCAAACTAATATTGAATCAGGCCATGTAGGTTTTTCATATTATTAATTAACTAATATTATAAAGATGTATTATAGGAACATAACTTTAACAAATACCGATGGGGTACTACTGTTTATAATCAAAATACCAGTTATGATTTTGATAGTATTATGCACTATGGTAGTAATTATTTTAGCAGTAATGAACAACCGACTATTACACCTAAAGAGGCTGGTATAAGAATTGGTCAAAGAGAACATCTTAGCCCAATTGATATTGCTGAAATTCGTTCATTTTACGGTTGTGCAGATTAAAAATAGTATTTTTAGGCAATAATAAAAAAAAGTGCAATGTGTCCAGTCGATCATTTATCTTTCAGACATTTTATCTTTTTATAAAATAGTAATGTTTGGAGAATCTCATGAACATAATCATAAGTCGTTTCTAGGAGAGAAAAAGAAACTTTGCCAATGAATCATTTAGAAAAAGCTTTTGATGCAATTTCTGCGAAATTCAAGGATGCGGTTGTGGGTAAGAGCGCATGTGAACAGAAGATCTGAAGCCACACCCATACCGTCGTCGATTTTCATGACAAAAAGAACTGAAAAATCCATTTTTCCTTATACTTTGGCACCTGTGTTATCAGAATATATAATTTCATTGCATATTCACTGAGACAATATAGAATAAAACGACTTACATAATAAAATATTCCCTAATAAAAGTTAAAAGAAATTCATTTTCAAGCATTTTTGAGTTTTCAGTACTTGGATGATAGCACGGATATTTCTCAAGGTAATCCAGAACCTGTTTTTACCCAAATGATCAGCGAAAAATGCTCTATAAAATCTGATACAGAAGAAAATTTTCTTGAAACTTCGTGTTTTTCTGTGGTTGAATACTCATGGTAGTACGTTTTTATAACCTTTTTCTCCCTTCTTTTCTGATTATATACTTGTTGGGTACTTATTGTTTGTTTTGTTGTATGCTGATAGCGTTTTTTCGTTTACTCTATAGGACCTATGTTTGAAGGTAAACTAAGAATTTCAAAAACCTAGTCACCTCATAGGATGAAGAAAAGTATCACAGAAACACCTCCGTTGTGTATCAATAACCATGAAGAAAAATGACATGCATGTAATTTAATGAAGAGTGTTGAATTGATTTTAATGCATTCTTATTCATTCATACTTGTCCATTCGATAAAAGTATAGAGAGACGCAGTGGCAAAAAAGCTCTTGATGGAATACAATGTAATTACAAGAAAGAAACAAATCGAAAAGCGCAGCATTGATTTTCTTCAGCACTCGTTTGTTTACACTTTCTACCTATTCATTGCTACTCACTATAAAGACAAACACAGAAGAAAAAGACAATGGAAACAATAATAAAACTACTTCAATGTGGATTTTTGTTTCGTTGGTTGGCTGATTTATAATGTACTGTTTTCTTGATCTCTCTCGTTTATTATCGTTGTACTTTCAGAAGATATCCAATAGAATCATAATGCAATTAATGTCATACTCAATTTTTTATTTTTAGAACAAGCTTTTGTGTTTACACAAAGGTGTCAAGCATGTATATCAATAATAGTGTGTTTCTCGTGACTTTTGAATTACAAAGAAAGGATTCGTAGCACCTAGATTGTTCATCGATGCTAGGAAAAATAATCAACCTAAGACTCATTCCTATTATACGAGTGTTCATTATTCATTTTGATTCCTTTTCTCATGCATACAAGCAGAAATCATTAATAGATGAGTTCTACAATCATATTTTACTTGAAAAGTATTTATTATTTGCAATGCATCATACGGAATACATGTTACTTATTATCTCTTTTCGATTGATATACATTTATTATGAATATAGTTTTTGTGATGCACGTATTAATTGCAAAAGAATTTTTCCGTTGATGTTATTGTGCATGTTAAAGTACATCGATTCTTGAACGGGACCAAACAAAATTAGATAATGATGTCTCTATGAATCGAAGTTAAAAGATCACTAACGATTGACATATATTTCAAATGATCATAATAGAAATCAAAACTCACTCCAGCAAGAGTGAGAGTTAGAGAATATTCACATTGCTAAGCTCATCCACACGGACATTCCTCTATTTCGTCATACAATATGGTTGTTAAAGTTTGATTCCTACTCTCTCCCAACTTTTATTAGTACAATTTTATCTTTGATCCTTCAACATGTTGAATTTTCATGTCAATTTCCATTTTTTGACGATTGAAATCTTAAATCATAGTCCCGACATGCACGAGAACTAATATTACTAGTTGTGAAGTAAGTGTTGGTATTGTTCTGAGATACTGATAAATGAATCTGATTTTGATGAGATAAATCTAAAATGTTTTCATGTAAATTTTATGAAATATATACTCTTTTGAAATCACTTTTTGATGCAACATTACATATATATTTTTTTTCTTGTGCGTAGCATGAAAATCTAGGAGATGGGCGTAGACGAAATAAATACTCACATCTATACCCGTCCAACGATGAGTAGTTCTCACTGACAACACTTGTAAGAATTTTCAATTTTCTTTAATTAAAGAACTTTCAACTCATCTTGTGTATTTCTCTATCTGAGGATATGCCGAAATTGGTTCCTATGTTAAAAAGCTTCCTTCTTTTTTCGTAGCTGACAAAATGTATGCAATAAGATCTTAGACACAGCCACTGAAATTCAGAAGAACATGCTTTGACTTTTGATTTTTATGCTCGTTTCAGACTATCTTCTATCGTTGTCTTATTTTCGGATGCATTGCGTAGTAAATTAAGCTGATTTTTTTCGAAATATATTTTTATTATGTCCATGACTTTTGAATTGCACGTTCAAATAAAAACTAAAGAAAACAGTTTTGTGTGCTTAGCTTTTATCGAAAAAAAAATTAGATGAATGTGTTGAATCTTATAACACATGAGATTATAATCTGAAACAATAACTTTTATTGAAAATCACAAATTTCTCATCAATTTACAAAAAAATTGTCTGATGTTTATAATGGTGTAAGTCTCATCCATTTAAGAATCAAACAAAGGGTGAAGCCAATGATAGAAAAATCATGTTCTAGAAGCACTCTATAATTGAATCTTTTCTTAGGTAGCAGATAAAGTTTACTTTTGTTAACCATTGTATATTTTTGAATGCTACTAACTCATACATATAATACGATAATCAAAATACATGATTATGGTTCCTAAGGACTGTATTTATTTGTACAGATATGAATTTTGTGGAACTCATACATATTTTTTTGAAATAATATAGTATATCACTTTTATGAGTGGATCGAGAGACATAATAGTGCATTATGGCCTGCTGGTCTAGATATAGTAGATATTTATAACAACACTTTTTACCATTTAATTCAAATAGAGGTGAGAAGTTGTTGTTAGTTTTTTTGTTATTAATAACAAATAACTTTTTTTTTCTGAAAAACCTTCAACTCGAATTGATGTCTATCTCAACTATACTAGTTCTATTGGTTTATGTTTAAGGAATGAATTTGCTACGGCTATGACATCAATCGGTCTGGAAATTTGAAAATTTGTAGAGATCATATACAGGGTGGACAAAAAGTAACAGGACAAATAATTTTTTCGTTTTTTTTTTCTATAAATATTGACAATTACATCTCATATTTATACTGCATATAATTGGTGATACTAGTCAAATATTTGTCATATGATCAGCCTCTAGGCATAGAAGTTTGCTCCTAAGCATATACATGTATTCATTGCTCGTATGTGGTTATATGAGAAATTCGATATTTTTTGTATTACATAGAATTTTCATACTCTTGTCCATTTATCCCAATCTGGGATACAAAGTCGGTTCAATTGAATTTTGCATTCTTTTAGTCTAAAGAGGTTCAAAATCTGATCGAATCGAATTTGTATCTCAAATTGATATAAATAGATAAGAATATGAAATCCCTATGTAATTACAAAAAATATCGAATTTCTGATATAGCCACATACGAGCAATGAATACATGTATATGCTTAGGAGCAAACTTCTATGCCTAGAGGCTGATCATATGACAAATATTTGACTAGTATCACCAATTATATGCAGTATAAATATAAGATGTAACTGTCAATATTTATAGAAAAAAAACGAAAAAATTATTGGTCCTGTTACTTTTGGTCCACCCTGTATATGATCTCTACAAATTTTCAAATTTCGAGATCGATTGATGTCATAGCCGTAGCAAATTCATTCCTTAAACATAGACCAATAGAACTACTATAGTTGAGATAGACATAAATTCGAGTTGAAGGTTTTTCAGAAAAAAAAAGTTATTTGTTATTTTTTTGTTATTAATAACAAATAACAATAAATTCACACCCCTAAATTCAAAACTTATAATGATAACAATGTAAAAAAAAAATACGAAAACTAAAAGTAACGAACGAATAGCAACGACGCAAATAAAAACAGGACACCCTTAAAAATATTTGCTTGCTGTGCAGAAATAAATAAGACAAACCTTGATTTTGCTGATTGATTAGCCTCAAACAGAATTATCGTCTATAAGGAATTTTTCACTTCACCTAGTTTTTATTGAAGTAATAAGGCTGAAGAACATATGTGAATTTTACATTTCAGTCCCGACAGGACTGCGCTAAAAAACTTTTTTTTGCTTGTTTATAAGTAATGGTTCTGCGTTCTTTACCCTTGCATATTTTACTGTTATTATGCGCCCTACTTCCCAATAAATTATGTAGTGAAAAAAAAGAGAACGAAACAGACAGAAGTGCAACATAAAATATTGCTCTGATGCAAAAATAATAAACAAACCATTCGGCAAATAACAAACTCATTTGACATATACGATACTCGACAAAGTTGGACTCAACCAGTACTGAAATATATTCGGTATAGTTGGTTTTTATTACTTCGTTTTGATGAGGAAATTTTGGAGCGTGGGTGTGGATTTTCTCTTCTCCAACACCAAAAACTCACGCCTACACCCTTAGATATTAGCGACAGTACGTGAGTGTGACCCAAAAACTATGAAGAGAAACGAAATGTATGTAAGATAATGAACAGTTCTTATTCATCCAAACTTGTCAACTCGATAGAAGTCTATAGACAGTAGGTTGCAAAAAGCTCTTGATGAGATGCAATCACATTGAAAGAAAGAAAAAAGAAAAGTACAGCCTTGGCTTTCTGCAGCACTCTTTTGTTTACACTTTCTACTTTTACATTGTTACTCACTGTACAGAAACGAAACGAAGAAAAATAAATGAAAATAAAAGTCATAAAAATACATTAGTGTGTATATTTC